TAATTTTCCCTTTGGGGCCCCGCCCTGGCCCCAGGGGTTGGGGTAGGAATCCCAATTTTACAATTTTGAAGCCTCATCTACCAAGGATGATTCTGACCAAGTTTGAAAAAAATCCATCCACTGGTTCTTGAGAAGAAGTTGAAAATGTAAAAGTTTACGCACGACGCACGACGGACGACGACGGACGAAAAGCGATTGGAATAGGTCACTTGAGCAAAGCTCAGGTGACCTAAAAAAGGTGTCCTGTTACAAGAATACAGCAAGCATGAATGACACCTTCAACTAACCCAGATTAGATTTTGATTCCCAGCTGTGGAACTTTCTACTACGCAGACAAAATACTGCAAGTAGTGCTTTCAATGGAGACAATTCTGATGATAGATTAGTATTTACCTAGAAGGAATAGTTTCAGGGCTAGCTGCATTTCATTTGAGTAGATTTCGGGCACTTCTGCATCATGATTTTGACACTGTAGTTTGGCCATGTCATAGGTCTGGGGCTCGGGTAGGTACATAAAACAGTAGACGTCCACCAGTTGGTATCCAGGGGGACAGAATGGTCCTGTTAAAAATTGGTATCATAAAAGAAATGTAATGTTCAGCAAGTTTATTTTTAACGAAATAATTTTTTATCTTATCAGATTATAGCAACCATAAATCATTTAAGGATGTACACCTCTGAGAAGTCAAAAATTTCCTGTATTAAAGTTTTTTTCTTATATGGATTTTTGGAAAAAGGAGTTGATGGCATAGTAGAAAATGCAAAAAAAACTATATGTCGGTGTATTCGTTTTTGTGCTATGATTGGTCAAAGATACCAATTTAACAACACAACATGTGATTTTAGGTGATTTTGGGGGTTTTGACCATTTGCAGAACAAATTCATACAATTTCTTCCAAGTGTGTTATCAGATATGTATGAATGTTTGTAGAATTGATGAAAATATTATTTTCTTTTAATTTATGGAAGTAAAATTTCTTAATCCTATGCTTTTAACTCAGAAAGTCGATTTTAGTTACCCCTACTCCCTATTATTTAATGAAAAAATACTCATTTTTTACGATTTTTTGAAAATGTGTTTCTCTTTCTAAAACATCTACAAAAATGGGGGGTCAGTGTGCTTCTTTTTTTAGCCCGTTACCATAGTGTTATTTTTTACCTTTTTCGGGGTCAAAAATCAAAGTGCTTCAGTAACACTAAATACGTAAAAAAAAACTATCAATAATGTATAATTTTCCAGTTTCTTGCATATTATTTTTATCATATTGAACATTAAAAAGTTGTACAGCAAAATTGAACCTGCTACAATTAAAAATGGCGACACAATGACAATTAAAGTGATCAATCTAGTGTCAAAAAAGGTGAAATTTTGGCCTTTTTTGAAGCGCAAGAAATACACATTAATACACATTTTCAAAATAGCCGCCGAATTTTTTCTAAATCCTTGTAAAAAATGTTCTACAAACAACAGGCATCTAGTTTTTTGACATATTTTTCAGGTGCGTGTTTGCTAATAAACGTGATCGTAGTTTGTTAAATATTACAAAAACCCATTACACCAGATCAAAACGAGACTTGAACGTGATTGAAACCTCAGAAGAGTACATCCTTAATATGATCAATACCTGTAAAACCTGTTAACTCATTCACCCCTGAAATTTTAAAATGAACTATTCCAACCTTTGAATTGGAGGAGTTCAAATGTGTCTTCAGGGGTGAATGCAGAGTTAATGTCCACAGGGAAAACGTTGCTCCTACCTCAAAGGCAAGGGCGGTCTATATTCAAAGACGTCTTATTATCAAGACATGTTTTACGGCAAAACATTCAAGACTTACTTTCAAGGCAGGCTTATTAATTACTGGGATTATAGGGTATAACAACTGAAAACACATTTCTTCAATAGCATTTTAGTCACACAGAAATTCCTCAATGCAAATATATTTCAACTCACCTTTCTTATTGGCCTTTGCCACTGGATGCTGTAAAATAGAAAGAATTGTTTCAATGATTACATACCCAAAAACAATTAACACAAGTTATACTATTCAATACATACCAGCCTAAAAGGGAGGTGCAAGAAGCAGAATCCCCATATCTGTCAACCTATTCTGTCTTTTCGTATCGCAGAGTTATCTGCTCTTGTGAGCAGGTATTGATTGTTACGTCATTTGTTTGTGAGAGTATAACGTCATCAATTTTTTGAGAAAACAACGTACTTTTCTCACACAAACCAACGACGTATAAATCAATACCTGCTCACAGGAGAAGATAACTCTGCAATACGCAAAGACGGAATAGCTATTAAAATGCTTGTTGAATAGATAACTTCCCAGTCAAATTGAAAATAAAAAGAATTGCCCGTGGAGTTTTGGACTTCAATGCTTTCCTTGTTTTACTGCCAAGTCAGGAGGTTATAATCCTAAAAGTTTGGGTTGGGTATCACTTTCATATGACTAGGACGTGTCAGGTCATCCCCCCATATTTCAGCCCATGGCTCAATGAATTTATGATGAATCTTTCAGGTCAACACTTTGACCTAAAATTTAGCAATAAGACTAAATATATATCGGAAGATCAGACAGTATTTGTTGGTGAACTTTATCTCACAGATTTCCTAAAGCTATGTAGCCCAATTAAAGTGCAATTGGTCGCTGTATCAGGTGGGGGACACTGGTCAGTAACGAGATTTATTACATACTTACTAATAAATTTGGGTTTTTTGTATATGCGATACGACACAATTGCTCTAACCCACATCAGCCCTCGCCGTATCACACCCCAAAACCTTATCAGCCCCCGCCGTATCACACCCTAAAACCTGTATCAGCCAGCAAAACCTGTATCATCCTTTTTGGAAATTTTTTTCGTTTTTCAATATTTCAAAAGAAAAATAGATCATAAGATAGTAGCTTTTATTAGTAAGTATGTAAAAAGACAATATATATTAATTTATGTTTAAAAAAAGTAAATTGTCTAAAATTACACAACAAACATACTTCTCTTTCTGATTTATGTAAAGACTAACTTATTTATTTTTAAATTCTGAGGAATAAGGACTTTAACAAGGTGAAAAGTATGTAATACCGGTAAACAGAAAAGAACATGCATTTTTCCGTATCACACCCAGTATCAACCTTCGACCAATATCAGCCCTGCGGCTGATATTGCAGTCTCGGGTTGATACTGGGTGTGATGTGGAAAAGGCATGTATTATTCTCTATACAACAGTAATATTGACGTCCTAATATTGAAAGTTTGTGACACTTACTAACTAAACTTTTTTTGTCAAATTTCTGAAAAAAAGGATAAAGTGTACTATATTTCATCACCGACAAAATGTCTTTACATTCTGATGCTTATTTATGAAACACAAGAAATAAATGTCTGTTTTATTTTATTTGGCTCAATATTCTCAGTGATAAACTGCATCGACAAGTTTTTTATTTTATTTTTTAATGGAAAACTACAATTTTTTTATTCAAATCAAAGTTGAGTTTTTCTAAAGCAGAAAGTTTCTGCCACATCATACCAAATTTTAATAGTTAAGTACCATTTAAACAAAAAAAGAAACAGTTTTTAATGCTCCACTCAAAACTTGGAAAAACACTTTTAATCCTGTGACAGTAAACTGAAAGTGTAAAGCAGTACATACAAATGTTTTTTATTTACTTTCACATGATGTATTATATGATCAGCCGACAAGGGGCTGGACATTCTCAACTCAAACGATTTTCTTTTATGCACTTCGTAGTCAGGATTTTTTTGCGTATGACTTTATTTATGGGTGTTCGTCTTTGACAGAAAATGCTAAATTTCAGACCAGAATAATGATTAATTAACTCGTTCTCCCCTGAAATTTCATAATGAACTATCAGTCCAACCTTTGAATTGGAGGAGTTTAAAAGTGTCTTCAGTGGTGAATGAGTAAATACAGTATTATTATGTCGTTATTTTTTCTTTCTTTCTGGCACAATGTTTATTTACCTTTGTGTATGGGTCACTGTCCCGCTGGATTCTTACAGCACGTGGATCAACCCCATGTACCTCTCTTCTTTCTCTTCCTTTAGAAAAAAAAAACATCAGATGTAATACTGATACTTTAGATTGATATCACAGATAAGAAAATTGTGCTATGGACTGAAAAAAATAAGTTTATCCGTCAACACCATGTAAGAACAAGTAAAACCCATTAACAACCAAAACCCTTCACCATTAATTATCTCCTTTTCTTTCTCCTTGTTTAAACTATTGTCACCGATTGTATTATTGTATGTATTTTTCATTGGAGACAATATGCTGTCCATCCTGAATATATTTTGCAGATTATGATAAGGTGATAGATTTACATAAGTGTCTAAGACACTTGTTTCTATTTCCTATTTTGTGTTTTGTTACAAAATGCTATATATATATATATATATATATATATATATTGCATATATATGTCACTTTTGTGTATATAATTGAAATACTTGAATAAAAGAAAGTTTAAACTAACACCATCACATGTTGCACATTTTAACTGCGACATGATTGGTTTTCACTGTGTGTACATAAAACCTGATTGTACTACCTGCCACCATGGATCCAGAAAAATATTGGCAATATAAAGGGGTGTTAGATATTCCGTCTTTGCATATTGCAGAGTTATCTTCTCTTGAAAGCAGGTATTGATTGTTACGTCATTTGTTTGTGAGAGTAACGTCATCAATTTTTGAGAAAACAACGTAATTTTCTCACACAAACCAATGACGTAACAATCAATACCTGCTCTCAAGAGAAGATAACTCTGCAATACGCAAAGACGGAATACATTGATGGAAAGGTATAAAAGATTGAATTCTTATAATTAAAAGGGAAAAAAGGACCTTGGTGGTAATTGAGGTGGCTAATAGAATGAGGCCAGCATTATATCAAGCTTTCACTGTCCATGTTTTATAAATTAGTGTTGTAATGTCACAGATGTTGTAATATCAGAAATCTGAAGACGACCAAAATTATGAAACCCACAACCACATGGGCATTCCATTTCATGCTAATTCTTTTACCGCATAATTAGCGAAACTATGTACAATACTGAATAGAAACTGTGCAGTACATGTTAAAACAGTGCTTTTGTGAAGAATAAAGATGAAAAATGATCATCAGGTTAAGGATCTAACATAAGGATCTAATACAAACACAAGGTGTACCATCACGTAATCAATGTCTATTTGTAATAGCATGGTACTTGTATATGAAACTTGCATGCGCGATTACTCATTAAAATGTCATAATTACTAGATATAGGTATATATATATATGCAGACTAAATAAATCTTGAAATACATCACAAATTTTTCCGTAGTTTTAAAGAAAAGTAACAGTTGTTAAATTGTAATACATCATTTCCATGTGTCGGATAATATGCATATATTCATGATTTGAAAGAAGAAAAAAAAAATTCTAACCCTATTTTTCCTAAGCAAGAAAAAGCTTTACCGGTATATTTTAATAATGAAACCTACTGTTTTTTTATAAAGATTTATTTTTACAGTATATCCTTGATATAATGGCCCTCATTCCATTTGCCACTTTGCTTACTCTTTCAATTTATCGCCAAAATTTCTCTGGACAAATGGTGGCAATTTAAAGAGGTTTTACTATATGTACAAACACATTGATGGCACTGAATGAAATTCTTGTTATGGTTAAGCAATGTTAGCTACCTCCTATGAATCCTGGAGCTTTTCGTGCTCTAAAATGTCTCTTCTTTCCTTTCCTTTCTTTTAAATGTTTCTTGTTTCCTTTTGTTCCTTTTACATGTTCCTTCTTTCCTTTCGTTCCTTTTACATGTTTCTCCTTTCCTTTCGTTCCTTTCACATGTTTCTCCTTTCCTTTTGTTCCTTTTACATGTTTCTTCCAAGAATATGTTTTAGGATGGCACTTGTTTCCTCTTAGTCTTGTTCCACTTGGACACTTAAGCTTGGGTTGTTTCTCCTTTCCTTTTGTTCCTTTTACATGTTTCTTCCAAGAATATGTTTTAGGATAGCACTTGTTTCCTCTTAGTCTTGTTCCACTTGGACACTTAAGCTTGGGTTGTTTCTCCTTTCCATTCGTTCCTTTAACATTTTTCTTCCAAGAATATGTTTTAGGATGGCACTTGTTTCCTCTTAGTCTTGTTCCACTTGGACACTTAAGCTTGGGTTGTTTCTCTTTTTCTTTCGTTCCTTTAACATGTTTTTTCCAAGAATATGTTTTAGGATGGCACTTGTTTCCTCTTAGTCTTGTTCCACTTGGACACTTAAGCTTGGGTTGTTTCTCCTTTCCTTTCATTCCTTTTACATGTTTCTTGTTTCCTTTCTTTCCTTTTACATGTTTCTCCTTTCCTTTCGTTCCTTTAACATGTTTCTTCCAAGAATATGTTTTAGGATGGCACTTGTTTCCTATAAGTCTTGTTCCACTTGGACACTTAAGCTTGGGCTGTTTCTTGTTTCCTTTCGTTCCTTTTACATGTTTCTCCTTTCCTTTCGTTCCTTTTACATGTTTCTTCCAAGAATATGTTTTAGGATGGCACTTGTTTCCTCTTAGTCTTGTTCCACTTGGACACTTAAGCTTGGGTTGTTTCTCCTTTCCTTTCGTTCCTTTTACATGTTTCTTCTTTCCTTTCGTTCCTTTTACATGTTTCTTCTTTCCTTTCGTTCCTTTTACATGTTTCTTCTTTCCTTTCGTTCCTTTTACATGTTTCTTCTTTCCTTTCGTTCCTTTTACATGTTTCTTCTTTCCTTTCGTTCCTTTTACATGTTTCTTCTTTCCTTTCGTTCCTTTTACATGTTTCTTCTTTCCTTTCGTTCCTTTAACATGTTTCTTCTTTCCTTTCGTTCCTTTTACATGTTTCTTGTTTCCTTTCGTTCCTTTTACATGTTTCTTCTTTCCTTTCGTTTCTTTTACATGTTTCTTCTTTTCTTTCGTTCCTTTTACATGTTTCTTCTTTCCTTTTACATGTTTCTTCTTTCCTTTTGTTCCTTTTACATGTTTCTTGTTTCCTTTCGTTCCTTTTACATGTTTCTTGTTTCCTTTCGTTCCTTTTACATGTTTCTTCTTTCCTTTCGTTCCTTTTACATGTTTCTCCTTTCCTTTGATCTCTTTTTTCTTTTCTTTTCTCTCTGTCACCTTCATTACTTTGGGTGGCTTCTTCCCAGGAAATTTTGCGGGAAAGCACATGTGTCCTCTTCGTATAGTTCCCATTGGACACTTAAGCGTGGGTTCAATCTTTGCCTTCTGTAAACATTATGATAGATAAAATGAATAAATTGGATTTCAATATCAGATGAATGTTTTGTTAGATTGATTTGACAACAATCCAATCACATTGTTTTCACTAAATACATGTGATTGGTTTACCCTGCAGAATATTGTCTTTTCCATGACATCAGAGCTTATAAAAAACGAAAGCAAATACAAGGCTAACAGCATGTGAATTTTGGCCAAAGTGAAGTTATTTTCACATTTTGAGTTTCGTTGTTACAATGTAACATATGTTTTACTTTACAAAAACATACCAGGTAGGAAGTTCACCAAAACTTTGAATGTATTTTCAAAAGTCAAACAGCTATAATCATTCAAACAGGAAGCAACTTTTTCCACTCCACAGTTTTGTAAATAGGCTCATATATACAAAATCAGAAAGCCTCTTTTTTTTTTTTTTTTTTAAATTGTTTCGGGCAACCATGCAAAAAGTATGTTCCCATAATGCTTTTGAGTTTTCAAAAATAGCCATTAACGCTTTACTCTTACTGTTGTTACAAATGTCTCTTCTAGTCTGTCCAGTTTCCTCTTGGTAGACTTGTCTTCTTGACGTAGTTCCTTCAGATCGGACTTCAATTCTTTCAAAGATGTTTTCCATTGGCTTGTTGACTGATGAACAATGGTTAAAAAGAAACATTTCAATACAATTTTCCACATCTGATAGTAGTAATAAGGACATATAAAAAGAAAATTGTGAAATTGTGTATCACCAAAAAGGTTTGAATGTAAAATCAATCATGGATTTCCAATAATTTTGTATTATATATATATGTACAAAAACTATTTATTAAACTAAACATTTTGTTGTTTTTTTCTATTGAAAAATTAGTGTATAAATCCACTTGACCAATGCCTGTGGCAACCAATATTTCAGTCTTGCGCAGGAACAAAAACTTATCACACTTGCGTAGAACATTATTTTCTATTTATTTAAATATGTCAAAGATGTATCTCCAGTGAATATTCCGTAAATTTGCGTATTGCAGAGTTATCTTCTCCTGTGAGCAGGTATTGATTGTAACGTCATTTGTTTGTGTGAGAAAATTACGTCGTTTTCTCAAAAATTGATGACGTTACTCTCACAAACCAATGACGTAACAATCAATACCTGCTCACAAGAGAAGATAACACTGCAATACGCAAAGATGGAATAATAAAGGCAGGTAAGATTTTAATTCAGCTAGGGGCAAGCCTACTAGCCCTCGGCAAGTTCCCTGATTATTTTTCACGTCACTGACATTACAAGAAACTTCATGAAGTCTTCACAAAGGCTTAAATCATTCTGTATGAAATGTTTCAAATTTTACAGAATTTAGACTTTTTTCCAACAGCTTTTTTCCCACTTAAGACCTAAGCGTGAAGTCCTATTTCAAGATATTATGATCATGTTACTACAAGTATAAGTTTAGCCAAGGTTAACATCAGGTCCTAAATTCACATTTCCCTTCAAATTTCCATTTCTGACCTCAAATCATGGACCAATTTAATTCTGTGATCAGATCAACTACAAATTATCTTCCAATAAATAGAAATACCCTCTAGTAAATTAGGAAAACGGTATATCATTATCAACATTACCAGGTATATATATGAAAATGTGTTGAGTTTTTTTTTACTGTTTTATATATGAGTGTGCACAAATGTGATATGGATTTTCTCCCACCCTTCACGGGTGTGTCTCCCGTTTTAGCCGGTAAAGATCAGCTTGTCATCACCGTCGGAGTGATTTTTCAGTTGTCTAACCCTCGGCAGAGCCTCGGGTTAGACAACCAAAAAACATCCACCCCTCGGGTTTGAGATTTCTGTCACACCCTCAGGGTAGGGGAAGATTCTATTATCCTCCCTTTGTCTATGAAGAAAAAATATTATGTACCTTTGGAAAAATTGCAATATGTCATGTACTAGCATGTCCTGGTTTAGACATTTTCCAGTACAGTGGCACTTTATACTGACCATTATAATTAACTGACCCCTTCACCAGTGAACTCCGTTGTTATTACGAATTTTTTGTGACCCGAGTTATTGTGAAAAAAACAGCTACAACTGCCCAACCCTTCCATTTAACAGACCCTTTAAGCAAACAATAATTCTTAGGGCTGTCACAATACATGTATATCACAAAAACAAACCATTATACCACAATACACAGCAATATAGTATCGTATCACAATAAAGAAATAAAATTTTGCTGTATCGCAATATTTTTCAAAGCATTTTATGTATCTGTTAGGTGTTTTAACTTTGTGAATAAACTACATTCGAACATAGATACCTCTACATACAGGCTATTACTAGTACATGTAGTGGGAATCAGTTAAAATTTCATAACTGATGGTTGATTTAACAAAATTCTGTTTGATCCATATCTGATTCAGTTTGAAAATCTATTTCTAAATTGAGCACCTTTTTCCTTTGACAATATTTTGGGATACACATTAATCACATTCCTTTGGTATTTGCAATATATCCGTAATACACAGGCGCATTGTGACATCCCTATCATTATTTCACATAATGTTACTAAATTCTGATTTAATATATGTATCATAATGACTATTAATTAAAAGACTTTAACCCCACTTAAGAATATTTTGGCTTACTTACCTTGCTTATTAATGTCTTTGCCATCTTAACAGCATATCTTTGAGCAGAGTTTTGATAGCGTTTCATTTGTAAATCCATGTCTGCCATTTTCCTCCGAAGCTTGATTACAGCTGAGACAAGCTTTCCCTGAACAGCTTCATTTTTTTTCATTGTTTCAGCCGATGGCTGATTTTTGTCAATCTTCACCTGCATAAGGAAATTTTTAAATACAAATGAGGGGTGTTAAACATATTCATGATCCATTGATGATGAAATCATCAGGTTCAACATACAGTGTAAATGATAAAATCTCAACCCTCAATTTTGTCAGCATCTTGTTAAAACAGATTTATCTTTTTCATAGGGAAAAAATGAGAAGGCTGCTGTGATAGTAATTATAGATCAAATCACATTGTGAGATCAAATGCAAACTTGCACAAAATTCCTCAATATTCCAATAGACATTTATTGGCTGCTGGAAATGGTATTCACAATGATACACCATATGGGTAATTAAGTGATACACTTTATATGGGTAAGTGATACACTATATATGGGTAAGTGATACACTATATGGGTAAGTGATACACTATATATGGGTAAGTGATACACTATATTGGAAAGTGATACACTATATATGGGTAAGTGATACACTATATGGGTAAGTGATACACTATATATGGGTAAGTGATACACTATATGGGTAAGTGATACACTATATATGGGTAAGTGATACACTATATGGATAAGTGATATACTTTATGGGTAGGTGATACACTACATGGGTAAGTGATACACCATATGGTTAAGTGATACACTATATGGGTAAGTGATACACTATATGGGTAAGTGATACACTTTATGGGTAAGTGATACACTATATATGGGTAAGTGATACACTATATGGGTAAGTGATACACTATATATGGGTAAGTGATACACTATATGGGTAGGTGATACACTATACGGGTTAGTGATACACTATACGGGTTAGTGATACACTATACAGGTAAGTGATACACTTTATGGGTAAGTGATACACTATATGGGTCAATGTCATTTCTATGAACAATCTGATACCCTATTATTCCTGCAAGCAACTTCTTGGGCATAATAACGAACCTTTTCTGGTTATTTGTAATTTTTGCATTTGACCCCTGTGACCTGCAAAGTGAGTGAAGGTCATTTATAAAAACAAATCTGGCCCCTAGCTGAGGAGCATGATTCAATCTTATAATTAAGTTCTTGAAAAGCCAAGGATGCATGATGTCAAATAAAGCTGATTGTCTCACATATAAACTTATCAACCTAATCTAAACATTACAGATCTTTAGAAGAAGTTGGAAGAATTTTTTAGAACAGTGACTTAATTTGACATTTGACCTGGAAAATGGGTCACGGTAATTTAGTTGAACAAAGGTTTAAATGGCTCACCTGGACCATTATCATGTGTAAAACTAAGCATACTGTTTGCAAACTGGATGAGTTTAACCACTTAACAATTTCTGTTGCCTGTAACTTTTAAGTTGCATGTTGGTCAAGCCTAATTCTTATTGCCAAGATAATATTTAAACGGAAGCAAAGTTCCACATTTGTATTCAGAGTTATGTTTATATATGTAAACTTGAAGATAATGACTGAGGGGAGACAACACATTAAATGTGAACACCCTTAGAACGTAAAAAGAGGTACAGTAGATGACCAATGGAAGTAATACCATACCATATATATGCTTATAGGAACTTTGTGCCAGGTGAGCTAAATTTGTAGTACAAATCATTTGATCGTTTTGATTAGAAACTGGGCCCATATAATTCATAAAAACCATTCTCAAGTCCAAGCATAGGTTCTGTGCTCAAACAAGCGCTCTGGTCACTCGTTAAATCATTTAACACAATCCAAAGTCAAGTGTAAACACTTAAAGAAGTTCTCAGCTTGAAATTTATCATCAATTCTTCAAAATCATTGAAAGAACATGATTTTTTTATAAATTTATTATCGGAGCAACAATTTTGGCTTGAACACAGAATCTGTGTTTTAGCATGGAAGCGGTTTCCTGAATACAAGCCTTGGAGTCTGATCTTTACCACAAACTTGTTGATCCTCTGCATATCTTCTGCGAGAGTTTTGACATGCTTGGACAATTGAAGGAATGCATGTTTATCGAGTTTATTATTGTTGTCTTTTGTTTGCATTCTCTTCTCCAGACTTGACATCGAGTCCCCAATCTGTTGCATCCTCGACCTCAGCGTCCGCTCCTTCCTGTCTATGGCAGATAGTGACTTCAAAATAGTTGTAGACATCTTTGTCATTTCGAGAATAGTTGGAATTTTCGACTGAAACAAAAGAAGGAATCAATAATGACTAGAAGCTTCATCACATTGATTTCGAAAATTTGAAGTACAAATTACAAGGAGACCTGTTGTTATTTGAGAAGTTTTTAAGAGAATGGACAACCAAGTTCAGTTTTTCTGCTCAGAGTTCACATAACACATAATGAAGCCTTGCAGATCAAGCTGCCTTTATTTGTCAGCAACAGTTTGGTTGATTGTGCAACAAGCTGACTACTGGGACAATTTTATAAAAGCTAACCTGTCCCTAAAGACACTGTGTCTGGATACAGAGAAATTTCTGGAGAGATCATGAGGTCCTAGGCCCCTCAAAGCTGAAACTGGTTCCTCCTTTTTTCCCCATTTTCTTTAAAATTTTACATATAACAGCCTTTTGAAAAAAAAATATTGACTAAAATTGGCTGAATTGTCCACTGCACTCTGATACTGTAGTCAGGATACAATATGGAACAGTAGAAGCAAAGCAAAAGTTATGTTGCAAATTTTCATGGCAATATTACACCTGGAAATAGACTTGGTCCAAAATGGGCATGACTTAAAAAAGTTTCATACAATTCACGTCTTTTGATATGCATGCCGAGCTCGATCGAGCTGTCACTTGCCATGAGGGATTGGATATGAGTAGACTAAATTCAGGAACAACAAAGTCTGGAAAATATTGTGACCTCCCAAAAAAATATTGTTTATCATACCGTATTCAAAATATGACGATATATCATTAATACAGCCCTATAAATTATATAAATTGTAAATGTGATATTTTCAACACAGTCATTACCATCAACAGTATCAAAAAAATATACTTGGAAGCGATGATCAAATCTTCAACAAACCTTTGTTTTCAGAAGTTCCTGGACAGATTCCACTAGCTCTGCATTATTAGTTCGGACTCCGTCAATGTTAGACTTGAGACTCTGGACGGCCATCTGGACATTGGTCAGGTCTTTGATGACCGTGGCTACCTCACGCCTGTTACCCGTCATTTCGTCATCTAGCCTAGAGTTGGTCCCGGCCAGCTTTACAAGAATATGCTTTATGCTACTGACATCTCCCTGCCATCGTCTGTTTTGAAAGGACTGTAAAGATAGAATTGTTTTATATTTGATGATTTATCAGTAACAATGCTGATTAAGATAAAATGTGGCCATTTACTGTGTAAAGGTATTTTTTGCTACATTAGGGTTATCTTTTTTCTGGTTAACACAGTGCAAATGTCTACAACACTGCAGACCCAACAACCTTGAAACAACACATCAACACTCTATGAACATGCTTGTATTTTTTTCCTTATAACATGAAGGAAAAAAACCTGCATGATTAAAATCAAAGATGTATACAGTATCTGAATTTCTGCAGGGGAACAACTCATTTTGGACCCATAACTGGTTCTTCCAATCTTCTCAGGAATGTGAAATTTCAATTTTAAAATAGTACTAAACTGCAATATTCCGTCTTTGCGTATTGCAGAGTTATCTTCTCTTGGGAGCAGGTATTGATTGTTACATCACTTGTTTTTGAGAGTAACGTCATCAACTATTTAGAAAACGATGTAATTTTCTCACACAGACCAATGACGTAACAATCAATACCTGCTCCCAAGAGAAGATAACTCTGCAATACGCAAAGACGGAATATGCAGATTTTGAAAAATTCTTCTAGCCCAAAATATATTTTTATTGAAAATGTTCAATAGTCCCGACGCAAAACTTATAGTATACAGTAGCAATGTACAACCCTTTTTCTACAGAAAAAGTGCATACCATTGGATCAGAAAGTTTAGCCATAGCTATCTTGATGTTATGAATGGAGGATTGCAGATTGAGGACAGCTCTGTTTACTTCTCCAGTTCCTTTGCTCTCTCTACCAAGTGTTGAGGTCAGCATGTCAACTGTGTGCTCCAGGCCCCGTAACTGGTGCCAAAATGACTTATGTGACCGTGCCATCGTGGACATATCTTTAGAGATCCGTAACTGAGTGTGTAGTATGTCATCAGGGTTCTGAAAATTAAAGTAAATTAAAATAATTCAATATGAAAGAAAAAGTAAAAACAATAGCAAGATTACTCATGTTGTCAGCCAATAGCCAGCTGAACTTCTGTTGTTACCTGTATGAAAGTCTTGCAAGATGTTATTTACACTATAATAGTAATAAGTAATATTAGGGTTTTTCCCTTGGTACTCTGGGAAATGCTTCTAGCTCTAAATTGGCTGGGGAAAAAATCAATAAATATCACAGTGTTTAAATTTATGCACTTTTCTTCTTCTTTTACTGTAATTGCTTTTTTCACAAAAGCATAGATCTGTAGAGTAAAGGAAAATCAGGAAAATTATAATTGAGTTCTGCAAGAAGCAAAATCTTGTAAAAAAAAAATAAGATTTTAGATAATTTCTTGGTTTAAGATGGTAGCAACTAAAAAGTATCCCAGCACTTTAATTAGTGATTTAAATTTTCAAAAAAAGATGTATAAAGACTTGTGATACATGAATGTTTGTTTTAAATTCAACATGTCAAGACTCTCTTTTGTTGATTAACATGTATTTATAATCATTTTACTGTCGAAGAAATCTGCTACAAAACACAACAGCCATATTTTTTTTAGTGAGAAGTCAAATAGGAATTTAGTCACTGATAAATTTGCTTGAAGTTTGTGAACAGGTATTTAATTACGCGTTTCTCAGGCCATAGGAAAAAATACAAGTCACAGGTAAAAATGGGAGCTTGTGACAATTTAAAATCATTTGCCACTTTTAGAATTGACCAATCTAATTAAAATTATATCTTCACATCGCTCCCGTTTACTGATATGTCGCGTTGAAGATCTAACAACATCCCATAGAGGGTCACGTCAGAGGTCAACATGAATGCATTATCGTATTTATCGCGCCAATCAAAACGCGACATAACTCTTTCTTTCAACCAATCAGAAAGCAGGACCTGTAGCAATTAATGCAGACACCTCGTAGCCCAAAATCCACTTTTTCGTCTGGTCCAGTGATAGTTTGAATATTGCGAAGCCTGTCATTGGTTAATTTTAGTTTCAGGTTGTTAAACTTTTTAACGACAACATCACCAGAAAAGGAAGTCCCTCTTATTTCAAAGCAAAATCCACAAATTGTACAAACGTTGTCTTGTAGATAGACACGGCGTGGTGTCATGGGCGCCGCCATTTTCGATGCTCATTTGACACCTCTCGGTCTTTTATCATAGCAAGTGTGTTCCGAAATCATTACATCATCACTTACAGAAATGCGTAAGCTCTCATCTGATTGGTTAATGCAAAGGTCGCCTGAACATGACCCTCTACGGGATGTTGTTAGATCTTCAACGCGACATATCAGTAAACGGGAGCGATGAGAAGATATAATTTTAATTAGATTGAGAATTGACTGAACATAAAAACTTTTGAAACTTATGTATGTGTATTGCAAAGATATTACTTATTATATTAGGTGTTTTGATTGCTGCATTATAGCTTTCATGAATAATGTTAAAATAGCTATGGTTGTTTTCCTATGAATACAATAATGTACAATGCAATATTCAAAATCACATATTACGTCACTAATTACAATCACATGTTATGTTACTACTTACGAATCTCATGTTACATCACTACTTACGAATCACATGCTACTTTACTACTTACGAATCACATGTTATGTCACTACTTACGAATCACATGCTACATTACTACTTACAAATCACATGTTATGTCACTACTTACGAATCACATGCTACGTTACTACTTACGAATCACATGTAATGTCACTACTTACGAATCACATGCTACATTACTACTTACAAATCACATGTTATGTCACTACTTAGGAATCACATGCTACGTTACTACTTACGAATCACATGTAATGTCACTACTTACGAATCACATGCTACATAACTACTTACGAATCACATGTTATGTCACTACTTACGAATCATATGTTATGTCACTACTTACGAATCACATGTTACATCACTACTTACGAATCAAATGCTTTCTTACTTCTTACGAATCACATGTTAAGTCATGACTTATAAATCACATGTTACGTCACTCCTTATATATCACATGTTATGTCACTACTTACGAATCACACGTTACGTCACTACTTATAAATCACATGTTACGTCACTACTTATATATCACATGTTATGTCACTACTTACGAATCACACGTTACGTCACTACTTATAAATCACATGTTACGTCACTACTTATCAATCACATGTTACATCACTACTTATAAATCACATGCTACGTCACTACTTATAAATCACATGTTACGTCACCACTTATAAATCACATGTTAAGTCATGACTTATAAATCACATGTTAAGTCATGACTTATAAATCACATGTTACGTCACTACTTATAAATCCCACGTTACGTCACTACTTATAAATCACACGTTACGTTACTACTTATAAATCACATGTTACGTCACTACTTATCAATCACATGTTACATCACTACTTATAAATCACATGTTACGTCACTACTTATAAATCACACGTTACCTCACTACTTATAAATCACACGTTACGTCACCACTTAATAAATCACATGTTACGTCACTACTTATAAATCACACGTTACGTCACTACTTATAAATCACACGTTACGTCACTACTTATAAATCACATGTTACGTCACTACTTATAAATCACATGTTACGTCACTACTTATAAATCACATGTTACGTCACTACTTATAAATCACACGTTATGTCACTACTTATAAATCACACGTTACGTCACTACTTATAAATCACACGTTAAGTCACTACTTATAAATCCCACGTTACGTCACCACTTAATAAATCACATGTTACATCAATACTTATAAATCACATGGTAAGTCATGACTTATAAATCACATGTTCCGTCACTACTTATAAATCCCATGTTACGTCACTACTTGTAAATCACACGTTACGTTACTACTTATAAATCACATGGTACGTCACTACTTATAAAGCACATGTTACATCACTACTTATAAAACACACGTTATGTCACTACTTGTAAATCACATGTTACATCAATACTTATAAATCACATGTTACGTCACTACTTATAAATCACATGTTACGTCACTACTTATATATCACATGTTATGTCACTACTTACGAATATCCTCTTATCGTGTAGGTAGGTTGACAGCCTGTTGAGTTTTCTGTCTAGGTCCATTGTATTGTGCGACACTTTGGTGAGCTGACGAAGGATGCTGCTGTTGAATATTTTCACATCTTCCACATCACTTTGCAGGTCTCCCGCCAGATGTGTCAGCCTTTTGATGTTTAACCCCAAGTTTCCTGTCGATGACCTGACCAACTGTACATTTTTTGCAATGGTTCTTTGCGATTTCTCTAAATCTAACACATCATTGCCAACATCGGATACTTGCGTGTGCAGTGAGCTCAAACGACTGTCCAAGTTTACAATGGCCTTGACCTGCTTTACAGATTGTTTCTTCAGAGCTTTCAATTCACTCGCTTTTTCACCATCCGTCTCCTCCAAGTTTTCAACTTTTTCCTGTACATTCTGAAAAGATAACCAGACACAAAAAATATTATTTTACAGCCAATCTTCAAAAACTGTTAATTTTCAACAAAAGAAAGGACTTTTAAGGTGTTTTCCAGTACAAATATTTTCTGACCCCTAAAACAGGTTTATGATATATATGCATGCATATATTTTAACAATTTTATTGCATCAATTAACTAAATTGAAGTTTTTTCAATTTCCTAACGTCAGTTTATGAAATTCTTGGAACATCAAAATCAGTCTTTTCACAATCTGCTTGAGCAAAGAATTTCTTCCTCTGAAAAAAGTATTACAGTATTTTGGCACTGAAAAATGAATTAGAAAAGAATGAAATTGTTCAATATAGGGCAGTCTAATAGAAAGAAATCTTACTTTCAATCTGTCAATTGATTGTTCAAGACCATCAAACTTTCTGCTGCTAGATGAAGTAACGGTAGGCTTAATACCTGAAATAACAAACATACAATTGGATATTCAAATCAAATCAAATCTTTTCAATATTGCTTAATCTCTGAAGGTTACAGCTGGGCAGGATCTTGTCCGTGCTTTCTTGCTCATAAGACCGTCCCAAAACCAGTGTTGCAAGTTCAATTTTTATTGTCACAATAAATTGATATATGTCAATGGGTTTTTTACCAATGAACGTCGCCATGGCGGTGTATTTTCCGAATGGACATCAACCTTCACCCTCAGGTCTGAATCACTGTTGTGACATCACAAGATTATTGTGCACAGCAACTGTGATGTCACAATAGGCTAGAAGTAACATCTGTCACTCCGACTGTAACCGACTTTTGCAATGCTTTTATGGAACATTTGCAATATGTCTTCATATTTCATATATTGGCAGGAAAGTTTTTACAGAAATTAAAAGATCTATTGAAAACAGAAACCTTGACTAATGGGTGATCTGGTGGTGCAGTAGATAGCACACTTGCCTTTCACCAAGGCGCCCAGGGTTCGATTACCCGATCACTGAGATCAGACGTGAAAAAGTATGGGGACACCTGCCCAATCATATGGGTTTTCTCCAGGTACTCCAGTTTCCTCCCACACCATGACCCCCCAGCACTTAAAAGGCAAAAAAGTACTACTGTTTGAATTGTTGTACACTTACCACCTGGTTTTGTGAGTTGGTTGATCACATGTTTGGTGCTGGGATGATCTGTTTCCGACAGATAACAAGTCTTTGTATTGTTGATAAACTTAAAATATTGACATTTTATTGTTTTTTCTGCAACACATGCACTTGCACATTTATCCAACGTCAGACCCTCCTTTCTAACAAGTCCAGGTGTCACCAGAACCTCCGTCTGACCGTGAAAAATAGCATCAGTCAAGGTTGCCTCTGTTGGAGAAAAAATATACATATTAGTGTATGTGTTAGTAGGTTTTATATCAGTTCTAAAAAAAGTAATTATAAGATAGTTTACTATGAAAATTTAAGTCAGACGAGTATCAATTGAAAAAATCTGCTTTGTGTGAAAATTAGCTAAATAGAGTTAAACATGATAACCAACCATCACTCGTTTGGGAACCTCCATGTCTATATCAAGAATGGGACCCATGGATTTCGAAGATGGGCCATAAGATGTTTTATATGCTTGAAAATTTCTCGCAATCTCGTTATCTGGGGAATATCGATATAAATATAGCCTTTATATATATATGGAAATTCCCCAGAACTTGTCGCAGCGCATGAGCAGTTAGATCGGAACGCGATCTGTCAGACGACACCAGAAGATGGCTGCTGGCAAACGCTTCGCCTCCGTTACATCAGAAAAGTTTATATACATTGCTTGAAGAAAAAAAATGCTATTAACCCAAAAAGACCACCGAACATGCAGTCCTCCGTGCTTATCTTAAGGAATATTACCTTGACGATGGCTTCGAAAGCTACGATGCTGAGTGTTGGATTCAACCTTTGCTAATTTTACAGAGAGAACCTTGAGGTGTTTTTTTAATTTTAGTGTTGAAGCATATAATAAAACAGTTTTGGGCCATAATTGCATAGTATGTCTCTTTCTATATTAACTCATTCACCCCTGAAGACACAATTGAACTCTTCCAATTCAAAGGTTAGAATAGTTCATTATGAAAGTTCAGGGGTGAATGAGTTAATATTATATGACATTGACAATGATAAACACAAACCAGTGAGTAAGATTTCTTTCATCTGACCCTCATGATAGGAACACAGACTCTAGTATTCAAATTGTAATACATGTATAAATAGGGCCCTATTTATAATATACAGCATGTGCCAAAATTATTCAGTTCCCAAAATTTATTCTTAATTTCATGCATTTTTATCTTTATGATTCGAATTTTGTGGGGCTTATCATAGCATTATTGAAACAAAATTTCACATGATTACAAAAATATTTTTCTACATTTTAATCCAAGTATTTTAATTTCATAATTTGTGTTTACTACTTTTCAAGGTATAACAACTTATTCGGATGAAATTGATTTTACTAGACAATCTATGCCTTTTTGTGCTTGGTTTTGCAAAATCATGGCAGTGAAATTTTATAGACTATCCAAGAATAAGTCACCATATTTTTGCTAATAAATCCATAGAAAAATATGAAAACATTGTCACATAAAGCATCAATTATCTTTCAGGGTGTCCAATTTTAATTCAGTTTCACAAATATAATTGGCTCCAGAAATATTCAAAGAAAACAGATAAAGGTGCATGAAATTTTGAATAAATTTGTGCAAATCCAAAATACTTTTGACTAGCCATTATTGTTTAATTATTATTTACTTATATAATTTCTTATTTGGTCCATATAATATTGTTTATTTGGGGTATTAATAACTGCTTGCAAACTGTTTTCTAAGGTTCCTATGATAGGAGGGGCTTCATTTTCTATAAAATATTTACATTGCAAAACGTTTTTAAAAGACATGACATGCATGAGGCCTTCGTAAGAAGACCAACTGGAGATTTTCATAAAACTTACCAAATCCACAGATGATGCTTAGAAGTAGTATTAGCAGGAATAAAGTTTGCCCTTTTGCAGTGTACCATGGCCGGTACATCTTATTATCATATTATATCAAAGTTTTGTAGTTGAGTATCGCTAAAAACATAAACAACTCCACAGAAAACGTCAATCTAAGTCCTTGTCATTTTCCGGTTGTGACGTCATAGAAACGTCACAACTTAGTCTCGTGAATTTTAGCGCAGTAATCCACGTGTTTTAGCCCCGTATCCATTTTGGTTGGTTTTTATGAAGCTCTGTTAATTTGAAATTAGATATAATTCAGGTACAATCATAAATCACCCGCCCAAAAACTGGTCTCATTCCATTCGTGAAGTTACAAGATGATTTCAGAGAATCAAAAGCTCAAACGCCAATCCAAAGGTTCTCAAGACGAATTAAGATATTTTACCAACCGTTCTAAACACGTGTATCCTATTTGAGTCATAGAACATGTTTAACGTACCTTTAAATATGTCTCCACTTTCGATTCGCTTTTAATTGAACTGGTGGGACAAGGGCAATAACTCAAACAGTATTTCCCGTACTAGAAGGTCACGGTATAAAAAGAAACCATACGAGCAGTTCTGTTAAAAATCCATCGAAATTCATATTGTGCGCTTTAAATCAGAGCGTTTTTCTCTTTTCAAAAATAAATTTGTTGGACTTCTTTGTTCATCTGATGATTTTTATTAATTCATAGTTAAATGCAAATGTATTATAACCACGTATTTGATTTCCAGAATATGTATATATATATATTTACCACAGCTAGGTGCAATAAATGTATTCCGGAATCGATTCAAAGTTATTTTATTTTAAATACTATTTCAAGTTTAACAAAACAAGCCATTCCGCCAGAGGAACTTTATCATCCCGTGCCCTTTTGTACAAATGAAAGCGGTATAGCCACGGAATTGCTATTTAAGTCCGTGGTATTCAGTGTAGTTTGAATGGTTCACTTTAAGGTATTACTTGTTTGAATTTGGTTATTCACGCAACCTCTTATTTTTTTGTCAAATCGATGGTACAAACTTTGAAACGCATTTGCTACAGGACACAGACGTGTGCTTTTTGGGTTGAATTTTTTTAGGACAGTGTAGAATACACATCAGGTAACCGATTCTCATGTCCCTGTGCTGTGTCCAAAAAAACTATCTTCGCAATTTCTATTGTTTAAATTCAATAATTACACGTATTGTGGAATGATATGTTATTAAATCATTTCTTGATCATTTTTAATGATGTCTCGTAAGCTTTAAACAGGCTGGGGTCTATTCCGATATACAAAATGTAGATTTATTGAACAAGTGTATATATACAGTGTAAGGTTACTAGGTACATAGCTGTCAACACGTAGGTGAATCCAGCAAACATATACTGAACTTGACAAAAAAAAGAAACGCACAATTAAATTACGCAATCAATAGCCTATGATATTTTGGGAAATTTGTACAAAATTTTATATCAATATGAAGGGACAAGTCTACTCTTCACAATACTGTAGAAGAAAAGTCTGTGTGACGTCACTCGTGTCATCAGTAGTTACTCAAAGTGGGATCCCGCGATAAACAAAATGACACTTCAGTACCTGGTGTGGGCACCTTTTGCACGAATCCCTGCACGGATTCTCCTATGCATTGAATTAATGAGAACATTTATTCGCCTTAAGGGAATGTTGTTCCATTCTTGTGTTAATGCTGCGATCAACTGGGCGCGGTTAGTTGGAGGGTTTTGACCCTGTCCAGCTAACCCATAGATATATGGGGGCCATTCCAGAGGCTGAACGTTGTTTGCCGTGAGAAAATCACGACAGACCCTGGCAACAATGCGGTCGAGCATTGTCTTGCTGGAAAATTAGGTTATGATGTCTGAGAAGTGGAAGGACATGTGGTTGGAGGATCTGGTCTCTGTATCGAACGGCATTGAGGTTTTGATCCAGGACCACTAAGGGGATTTTACTCCATGGGAGATGCCTCCCCAAACCATTACAGAAGCCCCACCAATTATATCGCGTTCAACCACGCATGCGTCGGCGAAACGCTCACCGCGTCTACGATATACCCTTTTTCTTCCGTCTGAGCGATACAGACAGAATCTAAACTCGTCGGTGAACATCACACGCCTCCACTGGCATCGACGCATCCCAAACCTATTCGGGCCACGTCTGCGCATCCAGTCAAGATGCACTTGCCGCCTCCGTGGTGTCAGAGGTGGCCCGACATAAGGTCGGCGCGCAATGATTCTCTCGGCACGCAAGCGGTTCCTACCAGTTTGAGGACTAATGGGTCTGCCATGAGTACCTAAGGTATGCGACGCAGTCTCTACAGCAGTCTTGAATCTGTTGCGCAAGTGCGACAATCGAATCGCCCTGTCTTGTCGTGCGGTCGTTACACGCGGACGATCGCTCCAGGGACGATCGGAAGCTAACCCAGTAGCACGGAATTGTGTACAGAGACGGTTAATTGTACACGGGCCAACACCAAACTACCGTGCGACAGTATAGTTTGGCTATGACCATCCATCAACATCGCAATTGCTCTACCCCTCTGAACTTGCGTTAAGCGTGGCATCTCAGTCAATGGCGAAATCAAAATGCCAACGTGGAAAATAAATGTGGCTGAACTTAGAGTATCCGTTGAGATTATTTGATCACGCCGCGTGATTTGGATTAATGAAGCTCACAAAGTCACATAATGACATCGTCACGCTTGGCTGATTTTAGTTTAGATTGTGGAGAAGGGTACGGGAGATCGTTCTTGATGTAATACCTGACCAAATATTCAATTATTTCCTTACAGCTAAGGTGTACTGCCGGGGGGGAACTTTGTGCGTTTCTTTTTTTGTTCAGTATACATATAATAGCATACATTCATATAACAGCATACATATCACAGCATACATGCATACATACACATATATAACCGCAAGCATGCATATAACAGCATACATGCCTAAAATAGCATACATACATATAATAGCATACATACATATAATAGCATACATACATATAATAGCATACATACCTAAATACATATATTAACATACATACATACACATATAACAGCATACATTCATACATATAACAATAAACAGGCATACATTTAACAGCATACATACATACATACATACATACATACATACATACATGTAACAGCAAACATGCATACATATGACAGCCTATATGCATACATATCACAGCATACGTGCATACATATAACAACATACATACATATAATAGCATACATACATATAACAGTATACAGTCATACATATTATAGCATAAAAGCATAAAATAGCATACATACATATAATAACACACATAAATATTATAGCATACATGTATATACGCTATAACATACATGCATACATATATTAGCATACATACTTAAATATAACAGCATAAATGCATGCATATAGCAGCATACCTACATACATATATTACCAGGCATACACACATATAATAGCATACATATAACAGCATACATATAACATCATACATGCATATACGTTATAGCATACATCCCTATAATAACATATTCATACATATAATAGCATACATACATATAACAGTATACAGTCATACATATTATAGCATAAAAGCATAAAATAGCATACATACATATAATAACACACATAAATATTATAGCATACATGTATATACGCTATAACATACATGCATACATATATTAGCATACATACTTAAATATAACAGCATAAATGCATGCATATAGCAGCATACCTACATACATATATTACCATGCATACACACATATAATAGCATACATATAACAGCATACATATAACATCATACATGCATATACGTTATAGCATACATACCTAAAATAGCATACATACATACATATAATAGCATATATGTAACAGCATACAAACATACATATAACAGCATACATGCATATGCGTTATAGCATACATACCTATAATAACATATTAATACATATAATAGCATACATACATATAACAGTATACAGTCATACATATTATAGCATAAAAGCATAAAATAGCATACATACATATAATAACAAACATAAATATAATAGCATACATGCATATACGTTATAACATACATACATAGTACAGCATACAGATAACAGCATACCTACATACATATTGTAAAAGCATACATGTAAACATATAACAGCAAACCTACATACAGATATTAGCATACATTCATAAGTATAGCAGCATAATGTATATATATAACAGCATACCTACATACATATTGTAAAAGCATACATGTAAACATATAACAGCAAACCTACATACAGATATTAGCATACATTCATAAGTATAGCAGCATAATGTATATATATAACAGCATACCTACATACATATACTACCATACAAACACACATATAATAGCATACATGTTACAGCATACATACACACATATAACAGCATACATGCATATACGTTATAGCATACATACCTATAATAACATATTCATACATATAATAGCATACATACATATAATAGCACATATATCTACATACAAATAATAGCATACATACATATAATAGCATACATGCATACATATAAAAGCATACATGCAAACATCTATTAGCATCCCTTCCTACATATAATAGCATAGTACATATAACAGCATATATACCAACATACATATATTAGTATACAAACATAAATTTAATAGCATACATTCATACTCATAAGAGCATACATGTAACATCATACATGCATATACGTTATAGCATACATACCTAAAATAGCATACATACATACATATAATAGCATACATACATATAATAGCATACATATAACAGCATACATATAACAGCATGCATACATACATCTATTAGAATACCTACATACATATAATAGCATAGTTCATATATAACAGCACATATACATTCATACATATAATAGCATACATGTATACGTGTAACAGCATACATACATAAAACAGCATACTTTCATACTCATAAGAGCATACATATAACAGAATACATGCATACATATAACAGCTTACATGCATATACGTTATAGCATACATACATATAACAGCATACATACACACATAACAGCAAACATGCATACATATAACATCATACATGCATATACGTTACAGCATACATACATATAAAAGCATACATACATACATTTAACAGCATACATACAAACATAATAGC